GAGATATGATTGTTGAAGTCCTTTGCCAGTTTTAAGTCAGGCTGTTATTTTTTTTAAAGATTTATTTATTTATGCATATAGAACTGGGATATAGGCCAAAGGTGCAGGGACAGTGAGATGCTTCACCGAAGACAGAGTGGGGAGTAGGACAGGCCAACTGATGAAGTACACTGCTGAGGGGAGTAGTGGGTGTGTTAGGAGAGGTCTGCCACACCATGTGGATCACCTCTGGGGCGGGGATCAAACTTATGCTGAAGTGGCTTTAGCTTCTTAGTGCTATGCTTTAACCTGCTGTGCCACTGGGGAGGGCCCAGGCCCTCCCTTTTATTGTTGAATTTTAGGAGCTATTTTATGTTCTGGATATTAGCCTCCATATAACATATATGAATACAAATACTTCACTTTTACAATTGCCTCCTTGCTCTATGATTATGTCCTTTGATAAATAGATTTTTTTTTCTTTTGATATCTTTCTTTTATTGATTTTTGCTTTTATAATCTGGCTTTTGGTGTCATGCCCAAGAAATCATTGCTATATATACAATGTTGTGAATATTTTCTTGTGTTTTCTTCTAAAATTTTTGTATTTTAATTCTTCTGTTTAGTTCTTTTATTAACTTTTAATTCATTTTGTATATGGTATAAAGTATATGCACATTTTCATGTGTATATCCAGTTGTCCCAGCACAAATTGTTGAAATAAATGCTTTTTTTCCCTCACACTGAATGGTCTTGGCACCTTGTTGAAAATAATTTGAGCTTGTAAACTAGAGTTTATTTCTACATTCTTTATTTCATTGGTTTACATGTCTATTTTGATTACTATGTCCTAGTAGTCATTTTGAAAATCAGGAAGTCTGAGGCCTCCAGCTTTTTTTCTCTTTAATTTTTATTGAAATATTGTTTTCTATCCTTGCTAGTCTTTTGAGAGTATAGGATTCCTGCTCTGTTATAGGCACTTTAGCACTTCCATCACTAATACCTGCAGTCTTCCACCATAGTCCATAGTGCTTTTCCCGACCCCCTATTCAGGATTGTTTTGATGTCCCTTGAGATTCCACTTTAATTTTAGAATGGTGTTTTCCATTTCTACAAAAGTCTTTATGTCTTTCATAAACAAATTATTTTTGCATACCATTTTAGTATTTTAATTAAAATTATATAATTTCTACAAACTTTCAGAATTAATATATTAATATCATATTAGTGAATCTACCTAAAAGTTCTTTTCAAACTATTTTCATATATAAAATCTTTCTATAAAATTTAAATTAATATATTCATAAATAAAACTACACGTACATCTGTGTACACTAAAGTAAAAGTTTCAGTAATTCCTTATATCATTCAGTGATCCAAACATTAAGACACAGAATGATGATTCATGTATTATTTCCACTTCAATTGTCATTGTTTCTAATAACATGTTACTGTTACTTTTCTGAATGCTACACATTATATATTTATTTGGGAAAATTCTTAATTTTGCATAAAATTAACTATTTTTTTAACTTTACTTAATTGAAGTAACATTGCATTTTAACACTATCTCTTTCAAGTGTGCATCATTAAAATCATCATATATATATACATATATATATATACATATGTATATATATGTGTATATATATATGTGTGTATATATATATGTGTATATATATAGATATATATATATATAGATATATATATACACATACTACATTAAACTCACTATCGAATATCCGGTTCCATCCTTCACTACTTCACTATACCTTTATGCAACTTGTCCAGATTCACTGACCATTTTCCCTTCTCCCTTCTGGCAACCACTAATTGATCATATAGTCTAAAAGTTTATTTTTGTTTTATTTAGTTCATGTTTGTTTGTTTTCTTTATATACCACATATGAGTGAAATCATAGGTGTTTGTGTTCTCTGGTTTATTTCGCTATGCATAATGTCTTCTGTGTCCATTGTTGCAAATGGCAGGATCAATCTTTTTTTTTAGCTGAATAGAATTTTATCGTGTGTGTATACCACATCTTTTTCCATTCACCAATCAGCACATAGTTTGTTTCCATGTATTGACTACTATAAATAAGCCTTCAATGAACATGGAAATGCATATCTCTCTGAATTAGTATTTGTGTATTTTTTTCTGGTAAATATTCAAAAGTAGGATAACTGCATCGTATGGATTTCTGTTCACAATTTTTTTTGAAAAAATTCCATACTCTTTATCATAATGACTGGGCCAATATACATTCCCACCTTCAGTGTATAAAGTTTCCCTTCTTTCCATATGCTTTCCAACAATGGTTGTTTCTCCTATTTTTTGCATGATCACATTCTTAGAGGTCTGAAGTGATATCTTCTTGGTGTTTTGACCTGTATTTCTCTTATAATGAGAAGATCATTTTCTTATGTCTCATGAGTATGTTTGCTTTGAAGAAGTGTTAATTAGATTATCTGTCCATATTTTTACATTTTTAATTTATTTTATATATAGTAGTTTATTTTCACATAATTTTGTGCATTTTTTCATCTCAGTTGTGATCCCCATGTTTCTGTCCATTTTTAAATTAGATTATTTGTTTTTACTGTTGAGTTTTATGAATTCATTATGTATTTTTTATATTAATGCCTTGCTAGACATATGGTTTGCAAATGCCTTTTTGCATTAAATAGGATATTTTTGTTTTAATGCAAGTTTCTTTCACTGTGCAAAGCTTTTTGTTGTCTCATTTGCTTACTTTTGCTTTTTTTCCCTTTGCCTTTGGAGTCATGTCCCCCAAAACATCTTTAAGGCTGATATCAAGGAGTATATGGCCTATGTATTTCTTCTATGTGGAGGAAGAGAGGATTCACCAGAGGTAGATTGGGGTAGAACAGGCAACTCTACTGCATTACATTGCTGAGGGAAACAGAGGGCAAGACAGGGGAGGTCTGCTGCACCTTGTAGGTCACCTCCCTGGATGGGGATAGAACTCATGCTGCATTGGCTTTGGATAGCTTCATGGTGCTGTGACTTAACCCCTTGTGCCACTAGAGAGATCCCTTTAACCTGTTTTGAATTGACTTTTGTATCTGTTGTTAGATAATGGCTTAGCTTCATTGTTTTAAATATGGCTGTCTAGTTAACTAACATCATTTATTGAAGAGATTTTCCATGTTCCATTGTAATCTCTTTGTGGCTGTGCCATTTTACATCTCTACCACCAGTGAGTGACTGATGCAATTTCTCTGCATCCTTGTGAGAATTTGGTGTTGTCATTTTTAATTTTAGCTATTCTCATAAGTGTATCTCATTTCAATTTTAATTTACCTTTTCCTAATGGCTGATGATATTAAACATCTTTTCATACACATATTTGCCATCTCTATATCCTCTTCCATGAAATATCTCTGATTTTGCCTATTTTCTACTTGGATTTTTTTTTAATATTGAGTTTTCAAAATTTTTCGTATATATTCTGTATATGGTTCCTTTGTTTTAATAGTAGTTTGCAGATACTTTCTTGTACACCTTAGCTTATGTTTTCATCTTAGCAGGGTTCTTTGTTTTTAGAGAGAATTTTTTTTAAAGATTTATTTATTTATGCATACAGAACTGGAGTATAGGCCAGAGGTGCGGGGGCAGTGAGAGGCTTCACTCGAGACAGAGTGGGGAGCAGAACAGGCAGATCAACGAAGTACACTGCTGAGGGTAGCAGTGGGCGGGTCAGGAGAGGTCTGACAGGCCATGTGGATCACCTCCAGGGCTGGGATTGGCTTTAGCTTCTTACTATTGTGCTTTAAACCTGCTGCGCCACCAGGGAGGGCCTGATTATTGGACTTCTTAAAAGTTAAAAAACAGTTACATTGTTAAGAACCCTACTGAGGGCCCTCCCTAGAGGTGCAGCAGGTTAAAGCACAGCACTAAGAAGCTAAAGCCACTTCCGCATGAGTTCAATTCCCGCCTGCCCTGGAGGTGACCACATGGCGTGGCAGACCTCTCCTGACCCGCCCGCTGCTCCTCTCAGCAGTGTACCTCGTAGATCTGCCTGTTCTGTTCCCCACTCTGTCTCTGGTGAAGCCTCTCATCGCCTCTGGCCTGTACCCCAGTTCTGTATGCGCAAATAAATAAATCTTTAAAAAAATTAAAAAAAGAAGTCCAATAATCAACATTTCCTTTTGTGAATTGTGCTTTTGTTGTCAAGTATAAGAAGACTTCACATGGCTTAGATTCTAAATTTTTTTTCAATGCGTATCAAGAAATTCTGTACCTTGTATAGCTCACTGATTTATTAAAGCACACAAATCAGGAACAGTCAAATTGCAGAGATGCATAGGGTGTTGGAGAAGTGCTTGGAGCTTTCATACAACCTCTCAAATCTCCATATGCTTACCAAAACAGAATATACATAAGTAATATTTTTTAAAGAATGGTTGTTAACAAGAACTGGTAAATCCTTTTTTTCACCAGTTTTACTGAGATAATAGTTGACATACCATATTGTGTATATACATAGTACAATAATTTGAGAAGGTAATTAAAAATTATAAATTTCCAGTTACAAGGTAAAATATATACTCAGAATATAATGTATAACAAGATGACTGTGGTTGACACTACTGTATGGTATATTTGAAAATTGCTGAGATTAGCTCCTGAAAATTCTAATCATAAGGTCCTGGTAAATTTTTAGTATCAGTTCATATATCCTCACTAAATCTCAGGTTCTGAATTTTATAAACTGGCATCATTTTTGAAGAAAAAGCATAACTTAGTTCTTAGGAAGAGAGCTGATTCTCTGTGTATATTCATGAAAAGAAAATGTTTATGGCTTAATAAATTAAAGAAATTGAATTAAATGATTTATTGTTGACAAATAGGCTTATTTTGACATTTTATATTACCTAAGCACAGAAATGGTTTTATCTTGCTGTTCTGCTTATAATTAAATGCACTTTAGTCCCACTGATCAAAAAATAAAAGTTATTCTCTTCACGCTGTTTAAAATTGTGTCTCATTTGGACAGAGAATCTGTTGGATTTTATTTCCTGAAGATAATCTGTGACCATTTTAAATCATCACAAAATATTGGAAAAGCTCTACTGCTCCAAATTGATATGCTTTTACAAATGAAGGAAGAAAGACTTGCCCATGAGAAGATTGAAGAAATCATTATAGGTCAGTGGAATTTCTGCAGCTGTTTTAGAAAAGTGTTAATATGTGTCTAATCCTAAAATAGATGTCAGAACTGTAGCAAAATACTTAGGTTGATAGATATTTCCTACTCACTTCTTTTCCCTCACTCTATAATGGCTTTTAACTGTAAAATACTTTACATATCCAGAGTCTATATTGTCAAGCTAGAATGAGAAACTAAGGAAAAACTTTAAAAACAGCAACTAAAAAAGGACAAACTTCTGAACTTAGAACATGTGTAGTGGAAAATTGTGAGGTTAGATGCTAATTTCATATTTAAAGTTTAATCTCAAATTAGCCATATTTGCATGTGAATTATCAAGATCTCTGAATCTTGTTTTTCCCAAGTATAAATGAAGGTTGTGAAATATATGCCTAGTCTTAACTTTTTAGGAGCAACATTGTTGTTATGAACTCTGACCCACATAAAATAGACCTGCGTTGTTCTTTGTAAAGAGGCAAATCTCAGCAATTTCCTAATCGCCTACCTCTCTGTAGAAACCTGTTTACTGAAGAAGATAGGTAGTATGATCCCTTTCTTAGAAAATTATCACTCCAATTCATCCTTCCAACTCTGTACACATACAGAGATATAACTGGAATTATAGTTGTTAGCACTAGAATTTGCTATAGTGGTGACATTTGAGATGCTTTACTGCTTTGCTCATCATACTTTACTAGATTGCTTAAATTTTTATATGTATCATGCTTTTATAAAAACAGTCATTCATAGTTTTTAAAAAGAGATATTTTAATGATAATCTGATACCTTTGACCTTTAGATTCTGTGAACCACATATTATTGTTGATACCTTTCCTTCAGGTCCTCTGTAAGAGTGCAGTTGTTTTTAGACCCAATTTTGATAAACTTGGTTATCTGGTCAAACCCTTGACATATTAGTGGTAACATATTACAAAGAGAGAAAGATCTACAGGAAAATGTACAGATAGACTGACTATGAGGGAAAAAAACACTACAGATTTTCTAAAACATTCATATATTTAAAAATATATAGCAATTATATATACTCTACCCTGTAATAATTCCCAAGACATCGCTGAGATATATTAATAGTGCAATAAAATATAATAGTTATTAGTGATGTTGATGTTGTATGGTCTAGCAAAGGTTAAATTGTTTTTAAGAAAGCTAAAAAGTATGTTAACAAAAAACATAACTCATGAAACATAACATTTAGAAAAATCAAGGATTTGGTGAAATTATTTAGACTTTTTAAAATAAAAAAATGGTTTAATGTTTAATGGAAGTAAACGGTCAGCAAACTAGGAAGCTTGGTTATTTAGGACAACTAATTTTCCCAAGATTACATTTAGCCAAAATGTGATTGTGATATTAATTATACACATATTCTCAAAGTGTTGTAATTTTTTTTTTACATTTTAAAAGGACAAGTTTATTTGGAAAAGTAGAAAGAAAAATGTATGCTGACTGCTAGCGGAAAGGCTCTCAGTGTTCTGATGAAGACTTTTATGGAAACTGATAGTGCCCAAAGTGTGGAAGAGAAGGGAGTATAGAATTCTATTACAACCTAAACTTTAATGTTTTCTAATGTATTTGAACCCTATAAATGTCTAGACCGGAAGTAATCAAACCTGAGTTACAATTGAAAGTAATAAAGTTTATGTGTCTAAAAACATTTTACAAAGGTTTTCAGGTGTAAATGGCCTTGTTGGTGACCATTTTCTGATCTAGTTAGTACACAGTAGATAAAACTCTTCTTATTAATGATTTCTAGCTTTACTTCTGTTTATTTGCAATAACTTAAGGTATCTGATGATCAAATTTGGAACACGGAAAATACATTAAAAAGAGACTAGGCTGGAAAACTAACACAGATTGATGGGCAAATTAGTGTGGGTATAGCAACCTGGGATTGTGTTATGTAATCAACTTTGCTAGGAAACCTAAACTTCATGAAAAAATTGTCTGAAGATGATCAGGTTTGCAGCCATTTTTTAATGATTACAAGTTCTAAGTATAGTTAGTGCTCTTTATTTAATATAGTAGATCTAGGTTCTTATTTTTAGAGTTTGGGTTTTTTTTTCCAGGTCACCAATCAGGAAGACGGCTGCCAACAGAATTAATAGGCTGTTTACACACTATTCTGTGGAAAAAAGCTGCCAGCAGTTTTGAGGTTAGGGAATCATCTTTTTTTAAAATTTGTTCATATTCTTCCTCCACACCTACAAATAAAAAGCATGTTAACTATAAAAATTATAGATTATTAAATGTTGTTTTAATAATCTCTGTTTTGGTAATATTTTAAAAATGTTCATAATGTAGATTGTTAAGGGACATTTTACAAAAATGTATTTAAAAATTAGTAAGATCTGATTCTTCCTCACTGGGAGCTTACAGTATAGGGAAATGACATTACTGATATTAAGTTATAGGAAAGTAATTTATTTTAATATGAGGAATGATAAAGTCCAGAGAAGTTGTATTCCCTTTAAAAATTATGGTGTGGACAAGTATACATTTATCCAAACCCCTAACATGCACAGTATCAAGAATGAACCCTAATGTAAACTATGGACTTTGGGAGATTATGATATGTCAATGTAAGTTCATCACTTGTAACAAATGTACCACTCTGGTAGAGGTTGTTGATAATGGGGGAGGCTCTCTCTCTATATATATGTATGTGGGGGGATAGGTGATAACTAACAAATCTCTTCACATGCCTCTCATTTATGTTGAGAATCCAAACTGTTCTTCATGAACTCTTTAAAAAGTTACGGTACAATTAAAATGCAGAAGAAATAGAGTGAGATTTTTTCTCTTTACTACATAATCATATTTACTATAGAAAAAAATTGAAGCTATACTTTTTTAATTTTATAATAGTTTATTTTTACATATTTTTGTGCATTTTTTCCATCTCAGTTGCAATCCCCTAGGGTTCCCCATCACCAAATCACCCATGTGTCATCACCATAGTCCAGTGCATTTCCCTCCCCCCACTGTTTTTGATCCCATTCCCCACTCCACCCCCACAAAATGTATATGGTATATGGCCCTTCATTATTCTTGTTATTTTCTCACCTGTTCCATTATATTCCTGCTATGAGAGAAACCATCCGGTATTTTTCCTTTTCTTTCTGGTTTATTTCACTAAGCATGATCTTCAGCTCCACCCACGTTGCTGCAAAAGGCATACGTTTAATATGTTTTTGATTGTTGAGTAATAATTCCACTGTGTATATGTACCACATCTTTTTAATCCAGTCATCTATTTTTGAGCATTCCCTATTGTAAATAAAGCAGCAATAAACATGGGGTGCAGGTGTCCTTTTGAATTGATATTTTTATGTCCGTTGGGTAGATACCTAGGGGTGGGATTGCTGGGTCACATGGAAGTTCCATGTTTAGCAGTTTGAGGAACCTCCAAACAGCTTTCCATAGTGGTTGTACCGGTTTGCATGCCCACCAGCAGTACAGTTCATTTTTCACCATATCCTTGCCAACATTTGTTGTTGCTAGTTGTTTTAAGATGTGCCAGTCTCACTGGTGTGAAGAGATCTCATTGTGGTTTTAATTTGCATCTCCCATATTACAAGTGACGCTGAACATTTTCTCATATGTTTGTTGGCCATCTGTATTTCCTCTTTCTGGAAATGCAGAAAGTGAAGTGTCTTTCTAGCTCTTCTGCCGATTTTTTGATGGGGTCATTCACTTTATTTTATTTTTTTGTTATTTTCACCAGCTCATTGTATATCTTTGTGAGCCATACTTTATCACTAGTGTTGTGTGAGAAAATTATTTCCTAGTTAGTGGGATATCTGTTTGTTTTATTGTAATGTCTCCTTTGCTGTACAGAAGCTCTTTAACTTGATGTATACCCATCTGTTTATTCTTTTCTTCACTATTGTTGTGTTGGGTGCTGCATATATTTTTTTAAGGTTTATTTATTTATTCATATAGAACTGGGGTACAGGCCAGAGATATGGAGGGTGAGAGGATTCACCAGAAACAGAATGGGGAACAGAACAGGCAGATCAACAAAGTACACTGCTGAGGGGAGCAGTGGGCAGGTCAGGAGAGGTCTCCCTCAATATGTGGATCTCGTCCGGGGCAGGTGGGAATCGAACTCATGCAGAAGTGGCTTAAGCTTATTAGTGCTGTGCTTTAACCCTCTGAGCCACCAGGGAGGGCCAGGGGGTGCTGCATCTTTAAAGATGTTACTGAGGACTTCCAGAAGATGGTGGCAGGGTAAAGACTCTGAGATCACTGCGTCTAGGGCTGCATAGGAATTGGGGACTGAAAATGGACTATAGACTTAATTACTGCAAGTTTCAACCCAAACGAAAACACCCTGGACTCACTAGAAGGTAGATAACTGAGGCGGAATTGGCGATTGGGGAGTTCCCTTCTGGGAACTCCCAGGAAAACCCAGGTGCCTGGAAGTTCCACGGGCAGAAGGAGCTGCTTTGCCCCACGCTAAACCCTAGAGGTAAATGCTCAACTCAGTGAGTGGAGCCCAGGCTGTGGAAAGACTGCAAATCTGAATCTCAATACCTGGGTGAGGGAAAAACCCCTGAAACTGCAGACCCGATCCAGAGCACCTGGGCGCCATGCAAAGCCTCTTATCAGATCCACCAGCTCAGGAACCGGCAAGATAGCTGCAGAAAAAAGACACCAAGACGACTACATCCAAACTCGCATGGGATTATATAAAAATGGACTATAGACTTTCACGCTATGAGTTTCAACCCAAATGAGAACGCCCTGAACTCACTAGAAGGAAAATAACCAAGGGAGAACGGGCGATTGGGAGTTCCCATAAGGGTAGCTGCACAGGCAGGACCTGATCCCAGAAATCCAGCGGCTTCCAACTCCCTCGGCTCCTTTAAAAATCTAGGCACCCTGACGCCAGGAAGCTCTGCACAGGGAAACTGCCCGAGGAGGCAGCTGCAGCTGATAGGCAGCCTTTTGTCCGAGCCCTGCTACAACCCAGGAGATAAACAGAGACAATTCAGCTAGGGAGAGGAAACCAAATCGTGGGAAAAGGCTGCAGCTCAGAACCGGAGACCCAAGGATATGACTCAGACTTGTTGCAGACCTTTGCCCCAGCAGCCCCAACAAAGCCCTGGATATAAACTGAGACAACACAGCTAGGTGAATGGATCCCAAGCTGCTGCGGGGGGGGG